ATGAATTGCTGCGGCGGCGGTTGCAGTAGCAAAAAAATTGATGATTTTGTATTTTACAGATACTTTTAATTTAAAAGACACATTTGAAACGTGTACATATTGTTTATTGATAATAACGATTTGATGTTACAATTTTGAGCATACAGAACATTGACCGCAAACACGCTCATAGTGAGATTTGACAGGCATGATCAACCAATGGAAAGGTAGGCTGTAATACTGCTGTAAAAGCTCTATTGAGAATGCGAACTGCTAATGACAATGGCAAACTTCTTAAAAATGGAAAGCTGTCTTTAAAAGTACACAAACAGTTTTAATAGGACTTCCTTTTGATGTGTGTTGAAGCTTTTAACTCAAATGAATTAAGTGTGTGTGTGTGTTTGTGTTTGTGAATGAGAGAAAGAAAGAGAGAGGGAGAGAAAATGAATGAAATCAGTGTATCGAAAAGATGAGATTAAATGTTGCTGTTGAACTACTACCACTACTACTAATCGGCGGCAAAGGCATTGGCCACCTCTGCGCGCAGTTCCTGCTCCTGAACGCTCACCTCTGAGCTGGCCTCTCGGATGGTGGCGGGCGAATGATTGGCGTTCTTTGCCGGCGCAACCAGGCCCACCCAGCGGATGCCCTCGTCCTCGCCTTCCTTCTTGATCGGCTTGCTGGGGTTCTTCTCCGGCGGCTTATTCTGCTGGTTGGCGCGCGTGCTGAGGAAGCGGTTCACCGAGACGGCGGGAGGTGCCTCCGGCGGCGGCTGCGGCGGCTTCTTCTGGGCGCCGACGCCCTTCTTCTTACTGCCGCTCGGTCTGCCGCTCGGTCCGGCTATTGCCGCGATGGCGGTCGGGGCTGGCGCTTTTGCCTTAAGCTCTTCCTCCTCCTCCGCCACCACCTGCGGCACCTGCACAAAGTCGGCGACGCCTTCGGGCCCGTCCAGGTCCAGGACGCCCTTGATCATCTTGGCGACCATCTTGCAGGTGCTCTCCAACAGTTCCTGCGAGTCGAGGTAGTTGGCCGCCTCCAGCAGATCCTGCAGTTTGCCCGGCGTCAGGTTGCCCAGAAACTGCCGGTCCCAGTACTCCAGATCGTCCATGGTGCGCGTTAGCAGCGAACTCGGCAGCACCTGGTCATTCTTGGGCAGCACACTGTTGGGACGCTTGCAGTAGATCTCCGGCGTGTCGTCATCGGTGATGGAGCTGCCGCCTGTTCCATCCTCCACCTTCACCTTCACCGTGGTGGGCTCTGGGTGACGAACGTGGTGGTGCTCCGCCCAGGTGATCGCCAGCTGGAGGATGGGCCCGGAGACGCGTGCCAGCGGCACCGGCTCCGGGTCAGAGACGCCCTCCTTGATGATGCAGTGGTCGACCATGTTGCGGACAATGCCGAAGCAGCGGGCCACCTCCAGGCGGACCGGAAAGATTTTGCCGTCATTGCTCTGCAGATTCACAGTGGCCCCGTCGCCATCGGCGCCTGAAATGGGCGTCTCAACGCTGGGATTCTCCTCCTTTATAAACGGAACCCGCGAGCGCAGTGCACCCTTTGCTGGTGCCTTCGACTTGTTGGAGAAAGAAGAAGAAGTAGGAGGAAAACGAGAAGAGCGCTGCGAAGCGTTTCCACTCATTGTGCCTGATTTGAAGACTGTCAGGTGATGACACTGCGTCAGCAGTCAAGTCTGAGGGTGATTTTGTTCGGGGAAAAAAGTGGAGTTAGTCAACGGAAGTAAAGGCAGTTGGGAGGTAGTACTTTACGTGACGATAATGTGACCGTTTACAAGCAACGACAACGACAACAACAAACGCACTCTGAGCACAGGCTTTGTCTGGCTACTGCTGCCACCGCCACTGCTGCCGCTGATGAAGCAAAGGAAGTCAGGTTGTCGAAAGGACGTTTCACCGAATATAGCCTGCACTAGTCACTGAAGACGTTACGTTTTTAATTTTGAAAAGATTGCGAATTCTAGAAGTTTCAGTTTCTTTAGTTTAAAGTACTTTTAGAAAACGCTTTAGTTTGAGATGCAATCTCTCAATTGCAACCCTCAAAAAACGTCATGCAAAGTTAAAAATTGTTTGAATAAATAATTTACAAATCAAATCAAACAAAAAATAAAATTTTTTTATTTATTTTAGTTGAACTACATAAAACCTGCTACAAAAATTTTAAATAAAAATAATGTAAAATTTTATATTAAAGAGTTTGAATAGCATCAACATCGTTGATAATTTTTTCTGCTTTTTTAAGTACATTTAAATAGTCAGTTGTTTCCTGGCGAAATCGGGCAATGTGCACAGATTCAGTCAGCAAAAAATCAAAAAGCTCAGGTTTATTCAATTGACCTACTAACTCTGTCAATAAATTTTCCTGAACATATTTTACCATAAAAGTAATTATTGACTTAGGCACCTAAAATTTAAAAAACACAAAAAATTTAAAAATTATTACAGTTTAAATAAGCAATTTTACCATATCTTGAATGTTTTTGCGAACAATTTTGTAATAGGTGTTAAAAAGGTGTTCTACAATTTTGCAGTCATGAATATCTTTGTCAGTCAAAACACGGTCATTGTTTGATGCCTTGATAAAAAATAATATTAGAAACAAATTTTAACATAATTTACTTACTTCATAGCATATATCATTAGTTTCCATTTTTGGTTTAATGGTTTTACTGTTACTAGCTCGAAAATTGTGCCCACTTGTAGCAATGCCATTGATAGAATTGTACTGGTTAAGTTCTAAATTATTTAGTTTGACAATTTGCAAAGAGTTTTCATAAAAATCTGGATGTCGAACATTAATATATCCAAGTTCTACTTTAAACAAATTATTTACAAAATCTTCAGTAGCTTTTTTCCTATTTTCTAGGAACTGCATTACAACACTGTTGATTTGTTCGGCAAGTTTTGGAAAACGAGTAAGATCATTTTTGGTAGAATAATGTTCTTGGCTAAGAGCAATTTTTTTCATTTCATTGTGCACAAACTCAATGCACTTTAAACTTGGAATTGTAAGTTCTTTAATTTGAATTTTAGTTAGTTGTTCAAAAACCGACTGAGGAATAAATAGACCAGAGTGAATTCCCTTAAAAATAAATTGTATGTTATTTTTATACGTTAAAATATACTAGTTTTTCACATACTTGAATATTTCTGATAACATTCAGAATTTCTACTGGAAACATTTTTTTATACAATCCAGGGTCTTCGAGTGATTTAGTAAAAACGTCATGAGTTATGTAGCAAATTCGAGCTCCACAGTCTAACTCGTTAGTATTAGGAACATTGCGACCGCCTTCAATTGCAGAGCAATAATCTTTTTGAAAACTGCTTAAAACCGCAAAAACTTTGGTACTCTACAAAATTACAAACAAATAAAAATAACTGTTTATCTTTAGCAAACTAAACACTTTTTACTTGATTTGTTATCTTGGCTCCATAGGAGTTTAGAGACGCTTGGCACTTGTTAATGGACTGTTGCACCCGTTCTCTCAGCTCGGGCAGGCACTTGGCGATGTGCTGGTGCAAAATCTTAAAAACAAAAAAGTTTTAAAAAAAAGTAGGTTTGATGTAAAGTTAAGTAGAGAGTTCTCCAGTTAACCCGTTAGCTACCTGACTGAGCTGCTTTGCCAAGTAGGTCGTGCCGTTTCGGTAGGCCAGTTCGGGGTAATTCGCCTGGAGGTAGGCGGCTTCATCAGCCTTTGCCTTGGCGATGCTTTTCCGCTCTTTGATGTCCTTCTGCGAGCGGTTCACCACGCCGATGATGCCCAGCTTGACGGGAATGACGCCCCCGGAGAGCACCTCAGTGGCGTCCGTGCCCGTGTCCATGATGTCCAGCTTGGTGAGCACTGCCAGCGTCCGGTCGCCGCTCGGGTCCACCTTGCGCGCCGCCTTGATGGCGTCCGAGTTGGCAAAGTCGGCGTTGGCCGGCGACACGGCGAGAATGAGCGAGTTCTCACTGGAAATAAATCTGTACACCAGCTTCTCAATCTGCGCCTCAATGTCCGCCGGCTGATCGCCCACGGCCACCTTGGTCATGCCCGGCAGGTCGACCAGCGTCAGGTCGACCACCTTGCTGGAGAAGATCTTCAGACTGATCGCCTGACTGCTGATGCCCTTGTTCTCGCCGGCAATCTCCTCGGTTCGAGTGATGATCTCCTCGCGAATTTCATCAAAATCTGTGTAAATTTTGCTGCCAGTGTGCTCAAACTTGCCCCATTCACTGAGGTCACTGGTGCCTGAATGTAATGATGAAAAAAAAGTGTTAGTAGACTGACACAGTTTTAGTGATTTATTCAGTGTTGTTACCATCATTGGCGTTTCTAAGTGAAAGATTGCCTTTTTCCACGTGCTGCAACTGCAGGATGAGCGGACACCGAGTGACGATGCCTGAACCTCGAGGCAAAAAGTCCCTCCCAACGATGGCCTCCAAAACTGAAGACTTTCCTGAAGACTGCGACCCAATGACGACAATTTGCGGCAAGCGGATCATCTGACTCTTCTGCAGGTTCACCTTGTAGAAGACATCCTGCAGTTTGTTGATCACCGCAACCAGCGACTCCATTGGCTCGGTTTTAGGCGTTTTAAAGCTTGTTTTTTCCTGAAACTCAGTCGCCAGTGAAGAGACACTGCTGACTCCACTTGAATTGTCACCCTCTTCAGGTGTGCTATACCCTGAGTGATCATTTTTGCTGCTCATTGTAACTTGGGTAGTTTGTTTGCTGCTGTTGCTTTTTTTAACAAAAACTTAAAAAGTACCTAAATTAACAATTGAAGGCGTTTTTATAGTTTAACTTGTGGCTTTAATATATCAAATAAATTTTAAGTGGATAGTTGTGCAACATACATTTTTGTGTACTTTCTTTTTTTTCTCAAGGACGTGTTTGAAGTGGCACTACAATGATGTGTCAATTGTTTAAAAAAAGATATATTGTCTACAAAAATGAGTATGATTGCAATCATCTAGATCAATGCATTGCACTGGTGACCTAGGTGGGAGTTCAGTCAACAAAAAGAAGTTCGTAAAATTTCCTAGAATGCCGTTTTTGTCTCGTCGTTATTACCATTTATTATCAAATGCTCACATTTTTATCATTAAAATGATTTTATTCGCCAGCAGTAAAAACAATTGTTAAAAAACAAATGAAAACTTTATTTAAAAGGCCCCTTGAAAGCATTTAAGGCAATGATATTATAAATGCATTTTTGTTTTTTATTGCTTTAATAAACACCAAAATAAAACTATAAAATTATAAACGTTGCCACTGTTAATAACTTTATTCATCAGTTGCAGGCACCAATTTATAAAAGTTTTGAAAAAATGATAAATTTTAAAACAAAAAATAAATTTGAAATTAAATATACTTTTTTTAGTTTTATTTATAAAAAATTAAAATTTGGAGTTTTGGTGTACAGTCAGTTTTATTTTAAAAAAACAAAGTTGCGGTTATTTAACAATAAACAAAAAATCATTTATTTACCAATTAGTTTTTTAAAATTTATTTTAAATGTTTTTAAAACAACTTTCAAAATGTTTTTAAAACAATGACAGTAATTAGTTTTTTAATAATTGTGTTTTAAATAATCTAACTTTACCAAAAAAATGTTGTTTCTCTCTCTTTACGCACTTTTTTGTTTTTATAGATTACATCGTGTTAGATATCGCAAAATTGTTTTCACACAATAAACAAGCTAAATGGCATCATTCAAATGGTACCAAGTTAAAGTGATCCAAACACCGGGTGCAATTTTAAGATCATAAATTCAAACTTTTTAAATAAATTCTATACAATTTGTTTTAACAATAAAAAATACACCGTGAAAGTTATCGAATTTCGGTTTTTGCTTGAATACTAAGCTAACGGACCTACTGGTGTTAAGCTCAAAATGATCGGGTCAACGAAAGTGATTTTTACGACAAGTTCAAGATTTCATAAACTAATTCCATATGATTTTTTGTGTTTACGTATATGATTCTAGAAATTACATCGTTTAAAATTTAAAAAACAATTTTTTCTAAAAGAAATGTTTGCGCCAATGTTGGTTAAAAATTTAAATTGATTTAACTTACTAAAATAATTATTTGACACATTTAAAAATTTTGTTCAAATTCTTATATAAATTTTATATGATTTTCTAAAGTTTACTTTTATGATTCAATAAATTACATCTTTTATAATATCAACCCGCTGTTATATTAAAAACAAAGTTTACAAACGCTTAATATTTGGTGCAAAATTTAAATTGATTTGACTTATAGAAACAATTTTTATAATGAATTTTTCAAATGATATTGAACAGAACTTTTTACAAACATTTCACAAATTAATCAGCCAAGTAAACCCAAAATGCTGAAGTCTGGTGTTATTTGGTTGATTGGCACCGACGGCTTGGGGCACAACGAGGTTGCGAGTTGTGTTCGGAGCCGTCGGTCAATGCCGATCAACCAAATGACATCAGTCAATGTTTAACAATTTGAAAAAAACTAGAGAGTCTGTGTCGGGAAACGACACTCACACCCTTGTTTTTTTTAATTTTTGAAATATTTTATTTTAAATTTTAAAATATTTTTTATTTTTTTGCATTTTGTGTTTAAAAAAATTAGCAAAAATTATTGTTAATAATAAAAAAGCCATATTTGGGTATTTGTTATTTTGCAAAATATTCATATATAAACATCCGTTAATTTTTTTATAAACATCATATGAACATTTGCAATTTTGCGCAAACAATGATATAAAATAATACTTTTTATTTCTAAATTATTTTAAGTTTAGTTTGAGCAAAACCGTTTTTTACAATTAAAATTTAATTCTGACTTTCAACATGAAGTTCGACAATCTATTTTTTATTGCCTTGATTTTTTCTTTAATTTATGTTCAAATTTTTGAATGCAACATGAAAATGTCTCAAATTAAAATTAACGGTAAATAGCAAAATGTTTGTTTTTACATAATTAAATTTTTTTTATTTAGATCAAATTGATTACCGCATTATTTGTTTGGAACAAAATCTAAATTCTAGCAAGCACTTTTGTGAACTTTTATCATTATTTAATGAAGCTTTCTTCCTTATGGTAGTGTCTGTCAACCGATCGCAAGCAAATCAAACACTCGCTCTTTTTGAAGAACTTAGCTCTCGCATGCGGAATTCGGGATATTTCATCGAACAGCCAGAACAAGGAGAACACCTTGGCGAACCTTGTGTCCGTTGTCCCAGAAGTAGTCAAGTTCTTGATTGCACTGCTCCCAATTGTAACTGTTGTTGCTTGGAAAAAGTGGCTTTTAATTCTGATGAAAGTTTTTTCTAATTAGCATTTTTTT